GGTTTTGGTTTGGGCAAGTAATCTTTTAATTAAAAAAAGAAGTATTTCCTAATGTTTATTTTATCTATTGGCACGTTTTTGTTTGTTTTTTGAATAAAAATTTAATTATGTTTAAGTAATTTTGTTTGTTTTTGTTATAATTGATTAAAAAAATTAAATTGCTTTCAAAATATATGACATAAGTTATAAACATTTTTTTGTTTTTGAGAGATTTCATATTAACAATCTAAGTTGAATTTTTTTTTTAAACGTGCGAATAGACTATAATAAGACATAGTCTATTTACACGTGCGTGCAAATAGACTCACCCTTAAGTTATTTTGTTAAAATATTTATGTAAACTTAAAAAATAATTGTTCTCGTTTAGTTTTGCAAATAAAAAGTTTTTATACTTATATATGGTTGTTTGCAATTTACAAAACACTGCTACAGCGATCAACGCGTCTTCATCTCCTCTATAGTCATTTTGACTGTTATTAAAAAAGTATATTTCATAAAAGTTACGTTCAAATTATACTTAAAGATCAAAATTTCAGTATATTCAGATATGGCAGAAGTATAAGTGCTTCCCTAAATTTAAATTTCTTCTCAGTTAAGTAATTCTCCGTATCAACAGTTGGCAGGTGGAGAGCTGGAGTGAGTTTTTTTTTTCCAGACAAATTTTAGTCGTTTTTTAATATATCATCATCTTGCACAGTAGGTCGTTTAGTTTGTTCTGAGTTGTCTTTGTTCCCATTTTCTGATGTAATTGCATCAGAAAATGTGTGTGTGTAGCATTGTACAACTTGCACCATTAATCACAACTGCATTAGCAGTATTCTGTATATCGCAAACAAAATCGATGCTATTGGTTTCCACCCCTTCCAAACCAAAACATATTGGAGAATTTTCTCCGTATATATCCAATATTTTCTGGCTGATTTTTGTTAAAATTACTGCTGGTCCTTCTCCCGTTGGAATTTTTTTTGTTGATGAAATCTCTTTTTTGGGATTTTTAAGAAGATTATCCCCTAAACCTTTCACACTGGTAACTATGGTAACTGTTCTTTTATCAAATCCTAAGCTGTTTGCAGCATCGGTGATCTAAAATACACATAAGTACCAAAATTTATAATGCTGCCTAAACGAATTTTTTTATTCAATATATATAATGTAAAGGATTACCTCATTCCATATACGATTTCTTTGTTTATTTATCTCCGCCTTTCCATCTTTAGACAAAAGAACATCTTTATGTTCTTCAAACTTTGAAATTACCAACCATTTCTTTTCTGAGACATACACTTTTCCTCTGGCTGCACGTTTTTTCTCAACTTTCATAGTTAATACTGCCATTGTTTAAAAAAAAAATTCTAACTTATAATCTGTATATAATATACTAATAACTTACATATAGGATACTAATAATTGTATGGTTAAAATAAATATTTTTAAACAGTATCTAATAAATTTGTAATGTCATTAAAATAAAATATTAAGTGTCTTATGCTTTAGTCTAGACTTGTGAATTATTTTGAAGATTGCCTAGGGTAACAAGTGTTAATTACTATGATGGTATTTGTGAAACATTAGGAGGAAGTTATTTTTTATAACGAGTCTGTTTTGCAGGTTATTGTTTGTCGCAATAACACGTATATGGTCTAATAAAAATAAAACTGAAAGTAGTAAGAATAGAAAATATTCAATGACAATGCCTCGACTCGTTCGTATGCATTTAGTTTTCGCGGAAGTAAGGCGTCAAGAAATAGCAGTCCAGCGAGGTGAAAGGTTATTTAGAGATCGAACCAACCCACTTGATATTTATGATGATGTTTCAGTGCAAAAAAAAAAGTGTTATTTAAAAAGGTGAAAGTTTTAAATAAATAAAAATTATATCAAAAGATTATATTAATATTGTAATATTCTTCTAAAGATCATCAAATTAAAAAATATTTGTCAAATGAAAAATTTCAAAATGTGGCGGAAAAAAACAAGATTCTATAAATAAATACTTTTTTGTACATTTCTTAGTTTAAATAACAAAAATGTTATTTTAACAAAACAAAATTGCCACTGAAATAAAACACTTTTACATTTTCTTAAATATGTCTCAAGCAAAACCTTTGATATAAGCATTTATGTAACTTAAAATATACCAGGACGCACGTCTTGGTTGGTTAAACACTCCAGTGTTTAAAGTTTTGGCTTAGAATCAAAAAATCCGAGGTTTGATGTCCGTTCTGGCCATTTTTGCAACATTAAATATAATAATATAAGAAAGAAGCAAGAAAAAAGACGTGAGTTTTCTCTGTTATAAAACTGTAAGGGCTTTGCGATAAGACTGTAAGGGCTTATTCAATTTAATGAACAAAAAAAAAAAAAATTTACTTATTTACTAATTTACTTTTTATCTACTAATTTACTTTTTAGTTCAAAAGTGCGGCCTTTGTGCAGCGGTTAGAACCCTTGTTTCAAAAGCAAGAGTTCGAATCCAGGGTTGGGCATATTTCGCGCCGTCGGTAAGAAATAAGGCACGAATTTCCGAGATAAAAACTCTTTCATGGTGCTCTGTGACAAGACCGAATGGTCTCGCCATAGAGCACCATACACTTTAGAGGTCTTCTTGGGTCACTAAAAAAACACACACACACAAAAAATAGTATAAGGTACTACCATTACGCCATAAAAAGCAACTAAAGGAAGATCTTCTTGAAAAAAGTAGAGCTCCAAAAACTGCGGATCCGGTGGCTTAAGTTCCTTTTGCCCTAATCCAGCATTACTAGAGGCCAACATTTTTGGAGCTAAAGACAGGTCTAGCCAGATGATAATACCTTTGTCTTCTACCTGCTCCGGTTAATTGAAAATGGTATTACATAAATGGTAATAACATAAATGGTAATATCATAGAAAGGCCGTGGCGCAGCTTGCTTTATAAGCAGGAGATCCAGGTTCGAAACGAGCCTTGGACATATTTTCGCGTCACGTAAAGGAAGGAGGCGTGAACTTCCTGGTTAAATGTACTTTCGCGGTACTCTCTGATAAGCCCGTTAGGTCTTCTTGGGGCACCTAAATAACAATAGAAAAAAAAAATAAAAAAATAAAAAAAAGATAACTGTAATAAAAAAAGCGAATGGAAAATAACACATTGAATCCAATGTTAAAATTTGTAACAAGTTTGAATATATAATATTAAGAATGAACTTCTAGACACATGACCTTGTAAAAACATTACTCATAAATATAAATTTATAATTTAATAAAAGTTTTATAATCTAATATAGGATTTGCCCGGGTGATATTTTCGGGAGTTAAACGGCGCGAACAAGTATTTCAAAGTTTATACTAAATTCTTAAATCAAGAAAATGTAAATTTTATAACTAAGTTACTAAAGTTTATGAAAATATAGTTTTTACAGATCAGGGGAAACAGACGTAGATTTTTAATTCCCTATATTTTAGAAAAAGTAAAAGTTTACTTCTTTTAAAAAAACTCTTTCGTTACTGTTTATGCATTTAATTAATTTATATTGTTGTTATTTAATTTTAATAAAATTTTATCAGGGAGAAAAATTATTACTACTGATTGTGTTGAACTAAAGTAAAAAATTTAAAATCTATATAGCTAAAAAAGCAGAAAGAAATTTATTACTCATTTAAATTTGGTTTACTAAATTTTGTTATTGAAAAAATATCATGAGCTATGTGATAGGATAGCCATCCCAACAAAATTTTTAAATTATAGGCTATAATTTAAAAATTTTGTTGGGATGGCTATACTATCACATAGCTCATGATATTTTTTCAATGACAAAATTTAGTAAACCAAATTTAAATGAGTACTAAATTTCTTTCTGCTTCTTTAACTATATAGATTTTCTGCTTCTTTAGCTATAATATAGCTATATAGATTCCTATAATATAGGATGGCATAGATGTGGGCCATCACAGATGTGGTATTTATAATACCTAAGTGGTATAAGTGTTATAGACATTATTTAATGACACATGTGGTTGACATCAAACTTTTTTTTATCCTAATGGAATTACCATTAACACCTTAATTAGCAAACCTTTTTATGTATGAATTTGAAATAGATGTATAAAGTAGTCATCTTCATTATTATTGTTCACAAGAGCCCATCGATATTGATAATTATGGAAAGTTTATTGTATGAAGTAAATTGGTAATAAAAGTTTTTACCAACATATTTTACTGACAGAATTCAACTAGACTACTTATGAATTACTACTTATGAATTATTCAAATTTCACATATTTGTTCACTCAAACATAATTTAGTCTTTGATCCCAACCACTAATATTGAATTAGAGTTATATATGAAACTTCTTGCAAAAAATACTTCAATAAAGTAACTTAATGTGAATTACCTTATATATTTTCAGAAAAAATATAGATAAATTACAAATGCATTTGTCAAAGTTTATGTAGTTATATTAACTAAAAACTTAGAAATTTCCAAAAAGTCATTAGTCATTTATATAATTTATACAAATACTGTTAATCTGACAAAAATACACTATTCTCAAAAATATATTTTGGAATAAACTAGTTTATCAAGCACAAAGCGCTCTTCAATTTAAAAACTTATCAAATCTGTTTCTAGACATTTGCAAATAAATAAAAGAAAGGATAATAAAATATTTTTCTATACTATTGTAAAATCAACTTTTTAATAAACACTTCTACAACCATAGTGAAAGAAAAACATAAATAATCTGGAATAAAATATTTTCAATATGCTAAAGCATTGACATAAGGTATTAAGTTATCTAAGCCATTAAAATTTCCATGTTATATCACGAAAACAACAACAACAACAAAAAATTGTTTAATCTTCTAATGACCGTGACAAAAATATAATTTTAAAAAGCAAAAAAAGCTGAAATTTAAAAGTTAGATAATCGTAAATAAGTTATATATAATTAAAATTATTATATAAAATATTATATCACAAATCACTCAACATATATTTTTATATGGAAGTATTATTTATATTTGAATTTATTATTAGACATAGTAAAGAAAAATAAGCATAATGAGCTGGCAAAATATAGAAGTTACTTGTGGATTTGGCAGTGGAGAAGAAACTACGAGATTTGGTCCGCGGCAAGAAACTGGATCAAGTCTTTATCAAGTGGACACAGTTGCTTGTATTTCAAACAAGAATATAGTACTATATTTTATCAAAATTTTTGATTGTATATATCAAATAAAAATTGAATTTCCTATTTTAGCCAATTATTTTAGTTTTAATAGGGATTATCTTTAGTTCTTTCTTCTTCTATGCTTTTAAAGCTTGCTTTAAATATATATATATATATATATATATATATATATATATATATATATACATATATATATATATATATATATATATGTATATATATATATATATATATATATATATATATATATATACACATATATATATATATATACATATATATATATATATATATATATATATATATATATATATATATATATATATATATATATATATATATATATATATATATATATATATATATATATCCATATAGTGTAGTCGAAAGAGCGTTTTAATGTAAAAAAAGTCTCTTACGACTACAATTTTAATTACCTCGTCTCTTAAGCTGTATTTGATTGTCGTCGAAATGTCAAAGCAATTAAATTAATGCGGAAGTACATTAAATGTTATTGTTTTTTAAAAATTTTTTAAAAAACGGCAATTATAAAGACTAGAAAGTTTTTTTTTATTAGTGATGTTTTTGTTTTTATTTTATTATAAAACATTTTTAAAACATGCGTAAATGTTGCTACATCGACTATCTTATAGCCTGACTTGCAACGGAGTGCTGCTACATCGACTGACAAATAGCCTGACTTGCAACGGAGTGCTGCTACATCGACTGACAAATAGCCTGACTCGCAAGGGAGTGCTGCTACAACGACTGACAAATAGTCTGACTCGCAAGAAGGTGCTGCTACATCGACTGAGGGTTTGGTTTGGGCAGGCAGTCTATCATTTAAAAAAAAAAAAAGTTTAAGTTTTCAAACTTTTTCTGGTCTGGTTTATTAACGCGCTCTTTAAAACTACAGTTTATGGGAAACTCTTTTCAACTACCATGCAAGAGTGTATATATATATATATATATATATATATATATATATATATATATATATATATATATATATATATATATATATATATATATGTATATATATGTATCTATATGTATATATATATGTATATATGTGTATATATATATATATATATATATACATACATATGTATATATATATATATATATAAATATATATATATATATATATATATATATATATATATATATATATATATATATATATATATATATATATATATATATATATATATATATATATATATATATACATATATATACATTAGGGCTGTCCAAAAAAAATTTTTTTTTCAGATTTGATTGCATAGTTGTTTATTTTGTGCCATTTGACATATTAATTAACTGTGCAAAAAATCTTTCCGATCAGATAATGTTTAGGGGGTGCTCAATGACCATAAAGTATATATATATATATACATATATGTATATATATATATATATATATATATATATATATATATATATATATATATATATATATATATATATATATATATATATATATATATATATATATATATATATATATATATATATATATATATATATATACATATATATACATTAGGGCTGTCCAAAAAAAATTTTTTTTTCAGATTTGATTGCATAGTTGTTTATTTTGTGCCATTTGACATATTAATTAACTGTGCAAAAAATCTTTCCGATCAGATAATGTTTAGGGGGTGCTCAATGACCATAAAGTTTTACGAAAAATGTGAAAAACATGGAAAAAGTAACAAAGTTCCACAAATTTCTAAAACCCGGTTAATTAGATTTTTCAGATTTGATCAGTTTTAATTATCTCTAAATATTAAATTCTGAATACAAATTACAATCCACATCCACTTTATACTGGTTTATTAGCAGAGAAATTAATGAAATAAAATACTGCAATACGACTAAAGTTCTGCGGTTTTTGTTATATCAGAATTTTTCCAAAATAAAACACTAAGATTTTTGACTCTTTGTCATTGATTAAAATACGAATTATAAACAAAAAAAATTATTGTAAAGGAGTAACAGTTTCTCAAACCGTTATCAACTACTAAGTAGGTCAACTCAAAAACATATGAGCAATTAACATTTAATTATCGTAATGTTATAGTTCGTGCAATGTTAATGCTAGCGAGGACTTTAATTCTTCAGAGTACACTTTCTGGCATCTGGCACTCGCTTTCTGTGATCCAGAGATTTCTTCTCTAGACTTTCAATGTTCTTTAATTTGATCAACCTTTCAGACCAGTTCTCACCGTGAAATTTCATGTTGGAAATCATTTTTCGCTTCTCTTCCGTTTTAAGTTTGTTTGAAAACAAAGCTAGTGGGACCAATTCTGGTGAAAGGTACCACAAATGGTTTTGAAATTTCTTGACTGCTGCTTCGGAAATCGTTTTATTCACAACTGCAAACTGCTTAAGTTGCTGAAACAGAAACAAGTCTTTAACTAGAGCATCGCTGGCATTTGGGCATGATATCCAAGATTTTACATAAACCAGACTAGCAAATAAGCAAAATTCACAGAGATTTTTTTCCTCTTTTGTGGTCAACTTGAACTCTTCACGAAATAAATAAATCTTAAAACAATAAATAACCTTGGCCATCCAGCGAGCCATGTGATAAGCACAAATTCATTGAGGGTTGTGTAACAAAGTTAGCTATAAAAAGTTTAGAGAATGTAAAAATCTTGTTTGGAGCAAATCTTCTATTGTCACCTGGTAATGGTTCTTTTTGTAAGGCATTTACAATTTCCATTTTTTCTTCCACATAAGTTTTATCACTGAAAAATAGGAGAGCAACTAGATTTTCACTTAAATACCATATCTGAAGTTTAATTTTATTTTTTACAACAATAGTTCACAATTACTTTTAAAAGAAGGAGATCATTTTTTAGTGCTTATATATTATTTTTTAATGGTAAGCCCCATGAATGCAAATAGTTGTTGTATCATTATTTTCTCACAAAAGGAAAAGAGCTAGTCTTACGAATTCTTTATAATCATCACGTAATTGCATTTCCTTTAAGTATTTTTTCCACCACATCAGATTTTTGAGATGCAATCACTCTTTATCAAACTTTGTAAGGCATTCAGTTCTGCTTTTACCATTTTCAAGTGGTTTAAACTTTAATTTTTCTGTTAGCTCCCACTGAGACTTCACTCTACCATAAAGTTCAATGTTTGGTCCTTTTGATCCAAAAAACGCATCAAACACTGCATTTGCAAAGATTTGAAGAATATGATGTTGACAGGCTAAAAACAAAACTCTTTGATTCATTGACTTCCGTATGACAGTTATTGCCCCATTATGACTTCCTGTGTTACTTGCATTTGTGTCAAAGTAAAATCCTGCAAGATGCTTCTCTATGCCAGGCCATTCATGAATAAACTTGATTACCTTTTGTCCCATTATCGCGCCAGTACCAGCAGGTATCTTAGGAATCCCTAATAATTTCTCAATATCCAGGCCAGATACAACAATTAGCAGACATTCATGTCTGGTTCTACCAGTATTTGACAACATTTTACTATCAAAATGAGCAACTATTGGAACCAAGGGTTGAAAATTTTTTCTAACTGCTATTGCAAGAGATTCATGGGATGTAGTTTATATATATATATATATATATATATATATATATATATATATATATATATATATATATATATATATATATATATATATATATATATATATATATATATATATATATATATATATATATATATGTATATCAGAGGCGGACTGGCCATATGGGCGTACCGGGACAATGCCCGGTGGGCCGGTATAAAAGTGGGCCGATAGGCTGGTAAAAAAATTAGGATGATTAATCAAAAAATTCTTAATTAGTTGAATATTTAAAATAAACATATTTGTTCTTAAAAAATTTGTTTAAAAATTTCATAGTTAAATTATAAAAAAAATAGTTAATTAATTTTCTTCTAATGTGGGCCGGTCCAATATGAAATGCCTGGGCCGATTTTTAGTCCCAGTCCGCCACTGATGTATATATATATATATATATTTTAAAGAACGTAGCAATTAAATTTTGTGTAGTATATTAATTATATAGCAAATTTGTGAATAAGTGATTTTTTAGTTTTAAAGTTGTTTTTTTTACAAAAAAAAATGGTCATAGTTTATTTATAACATTTTGATCGGTTTTTTAGATTGCTCATAGAAAGAACGTCATTTAGAAATAAAATTTAATTTATGTGCTGTAGGCGAAGATTTTGTTTAAAACAGAAAATTTTAAAATAAAATTAGTAGACAGTTTACATCCAGTTGATAACCTCTAAGGTTATTTTAATCTCTTAATAAAACATGTCAAACTTAAAAAGCAAGTAATTACAATAAATTAGTTAAAAACCAATATTTAATGAATATTATATATTTTTTACATTTATTTCAATTTGCATGCCGACACTTTAAGATATTCAGGATGGCAGTTGTATGCCATCCTAAAGCAAAGATAGGTTGGCTTTTGCATCGGTATTGTTGAATGCCAGCCTGGAAGTGCGTTCTAAGAGAATAAAAGGACTGTATATATGTATATAAGTTATAATATATATATGTTATAAATTTTAACATGTTTACAAAGAATTTAATTTTTTTTAAAATTAAAAAAGAGAAAGAAAAACCAAGAAAAAAAAATCTCATTTTTTAAAATTAGAATGTTAAAAAAATTTTAAATAACTTTTTTATTCAAAATTCTTTCTAAATTGAAAGGAAATTTCTGTTTTCACTTTTGTTAATACCGCACAATCTGTTAATTATATAAAGCTGATGTAACTCTTATAAATTATTATTTTTCTAAACTATTTTTTGCAAAATAAAACTTAAATATAAATAAAAATAAAACTTAAATATAAATAAAACTTAAATATAAATAAAACTTAAATATAAATGAAGACACTGCAAGAGTTATATTGCTTAAGGCGTAAATTCAAGCAAAGAATTAATAATAGAGTTATATCCATTAAAGAAGTTTTTTTTAAAAAACTCTTTATAAGATGTTTAAAGTTTATA